CGTTATATTTAGCAACTGTACTTTGAAAATGTATAAAGACTGATGTAAATTCATTTTATTCTGCTTTAGATACTGAAGATGGAATATGATAGAACTCCGAAACGTTTAGTGTTTTATTTGTTCAATTATCGTTACAGGATCAAAATAAGTTTAATTATCATTATATTTAGCAACTGTACTTTGAAAATGTATAAAGACTGATGTAAATTCATTTTATTCTGCTTTAGATACTGAAGATGGAATATGATAGAACTCCGAAACGTTTAGTGTTTTATTTGTTTAATTATCGTTACAGGATCAAAATGTTTAGATTCACACGTGGAACTTCCGTTCCAACAAGTTTTTCAATTATTGTTATCGATAGGTTATTAAAATACGTTTCTGAAACGAATTTTTTGGTTATATCAGTGGTCGTTTAGATTATAAACACATACACTCTTCTATAAAGTAAGCTCATTTAAACAAACCTTGATTCACTCCAATATTAGCGGCAATAAAAGGTGCTCAAAATATCTTTATGTTTAGGTACTTTAAATGACGAAAATTAAAAGTATATTGCTAAAAACTTAAAAGACTTAGTATTACATAATTTGTCGGAAAATTACACTTCTGTATTTAGACCTAGATGGAGGACTCGGTGTGTGTATAATTTAATCCGATTTGGTAAAAGACTTAGTGTTACAGAATTTAACAGAAAATTACACTTCTGTATTTAGACCTAGATGGAGGACTCGGTGTGTGTGTATAATTTAATCCGATTTGAAAATCTCTGTCGATAATTCTATGTGTTTGTGCTTTATTTACCAGTAACTGACAACAACGCAGGTAATATATAGGAATACCTGGTATTTTACTTTGATCAAACAGCAGTGTACACGTTTACATCAAATACATAATTTCACGTTTTCAAACACACAAAGCTTTCTTATGAAATCTATTGAAATATATTTATATGTATATATATTTATAAATCTAAAAATAGCTGGGAGCTTACTTATAGTGATCTAACCTTTATATTATTGGAGGGATAAGCTCTTACATCTTCCAACACTTTTGTACATGTACATGATCATATATTTTCTTTTGTGGGCTTCTACAGCTTCCCCTTTTACCAGTATCATCCTGGTGTAGCAATCAGATTGTGCATCCTCAAGTGAGACTTACGACTAGTTTTCTGAATCTTTGCCCGTTGTTCTCTCCGTTTATCACAGTTTTAACATGTCTACCACGAGGAAAACAAGCATACAAAAACTACCAAGAGCTTAAAGAAATACATAAATGTAATAATGTCCTTTGTATATAATATCCACTGATATTTCTAGAAACAGAGTAGCCAAATATTTCTTTGCTAACACCTACAAATACTATGTTATAGTCAGCACCGAGTGAAAAATGTACACATTTCACGAGTTATCCTACCTTTAATTGAAAGCTGCCTATTCAGTCGGCCATAAACCTTGATATGAGCATTTCAAATACGTTGAGCACTAAAATTAGTGGACAATGAAACACTGATGTGCAACATATTAAAAATCTTAGGGAAAAACGGACCCCTTTTGCAATTATTTTCTTGTAAGTATCAACAAACATACCCACAACTGAAAACAAAATCTTCGTTAGTATATTTTATAGGTACAAAACACACCACAGTTACTTCTCAGTGATTTCCCAGTATCAGTAACAAGTTCTAACATGCTTCTCGCAGCGCAGGTAATTCAATTATAAGTACTTTAAGTTTACCATAAAGAAAGTTGACTTTATATAATCTTTAGTGTGTAGGGAGAGGGGCCGAAATATAAGCGGCTATTCTGAGTAGCAAAAGTAACTAAAACACAAGTTTTTCACCCGCAATTAAAAGTAGTCTAAGTAAAAGGGCAGAAATAACCGTGACCATTATGTCACTGCACATTCATCACGTATCGAACTGTAAGAGGCCCGTGGTTTTATGTTTATCTGGCGCGTTAGTCAGTCGTACGGTACTGTAGTTACAACAACAATCGAATAACAAATAAATGGGCGTATCTTTCAAAGTAGTCTGTGAGAATAGTAACCACCATAGTGACCCGTGGTTTCTAATGATAATCATCCTATGGGAATATTAATACACGTTTTCCCAGAAGGCTTCTGGGTACACGATTTCCCTATGGCATTTAAGCACAGACAAATGGAGGAAAACCGACTTCGAAGGTATAGAAATAGCAGGAGTGTGGATGCGTCTGTACGAAAATGTATTTTTAAACACGACAGTGGTAAACCATTAGTTTAAAATTCAGATATTTGTCAGTTAATGTAATTCAAAAGAAAAATTTCTCACAAACTAATAAATATATTTTAATGAAACCTGACAATGTGTTAGTATGGGTTGCATAATTAAACTGACGATAGACTTTTCGAAAAGAAAATTTGTGATAGTATCCTCACAGTATTAAGCTAATACGGCATTCGTAACTATGTATATTCAAGAGAATACGCCTTTCCGAGTGCTGATTTACTAGGGCAAGAACTTCGAATTAAAAAAACTTGTGCTAAAAACTAGACTTTGTTACTATTGTGGTTTATTTTTAACTAGCGTTTACTTGATAGTCAACAACAGGCAACAACAGGTTTCTATAGGTAGTCGAGAATGTAACTCTTCAAAGAAATCACGGCCCTCTCACTAAAATTAAACGCTTCCTGGGCATTAATCCCACCCAAGATACTTGCTATATCCAGCAACGTCACCCCTAAAGAACAAACACATTAAATTATACAAAAATTCATCGGAATAACGATTACATTTGTAGTGAGCACTGAATCTGACTCACAATGCACTATTGACTTTTATCGACAATACTACAATAATAGACTGTCAGAAAATGCGACTTTGTGTATACATATTAAAGAAAAAAAAGCTCTTGTGAAGAAACCTGGAATCGCTTCTATTGTGAATTTTATATAAAAGAGGAAGAGCCATGGGTTATTTCATGACGATTTATAATATGTCCACACAAGAGTAAAAATGGGAGGGGGAAAAGCCATGGGCTATTTAATGACGATTTATAATATGTCCACACAAGAGTAAAAATGGGGGGGGGGAAGCCATGGGTTATTTAATGACGATTTATAATATGTCCACACACGAGTAAAAATGGGGGGGGGGGAGGGAGAGGAAAAGCCATGGGTTATTTAATGACGATTTACAATATGTCCACACAAGAGTAGAAAATGGGGGGAAAAATCAACATGCAATAGCAGAAACAATAACATGATTTTAAGATCAATTTGTCTGAAATATAAAACTGTCTATATATTAATATAAAGTTCATATAAAATGTACAACTGTATAGTAAATGTTTTTAGACAAGTTAAAAGTTCCACTTCCGTGTATTCCTTCTAACACTTTTCTTAAAGGCAAAATGCTAAACAAAACCACAACTTAAAAGTATGTTTGAATTATTCTATGCCACATACATTAGTTAAACAGATACACAAGAGTGTTGTTTGGCTATGAAAACTATCAAACCACACGACAAGGTTACAGTTCACAAACTACTTAGATATTAATGAAATACATTAATTGAATTTCACACCCAATTTACTCTTTTTATAAAATTTAACAGATGTACTAAAAAAAAATCTATAATATAAAACTTGAGTCAGTGACATAGGACAAAGCAGAAAATATGTATATATTATATATATTTATATTCCATTTTATTCATCTTGTAATCAAAATTTGAGTTCCCTTGAAAATCTGGACTATTCATATATAAAGTTATTTTTGATGTATTGGGCTATTTAATGCTTTGAATATTATTCTATTTTACTGATATAGAGGGGGCAGTTGTTGATAAGGCTGTCACTTAAGTTGTTCCTGGTGAATAAAAACTTTAAATAATTGTTTCTCTAGCTTAGATACTTCAAATGGTTTACCTGACAGCATTCTTTATTTTTTTTCACCAAATGAAATTGTGTTTAAAAGTTTATACACCTTAATAATCACACTCTCTGCAACACGCAAAAATCATGATTCAGATATACTTTGAACATGTACAACACAGTTATATTGGATGTATTGCACTCTCAAGACCTCATAGATGCTATTAGGCTTAATTCTAATTTACCAACTTTCCCGCATCCTTATCTCTCGCTGAACAATTTAGAGGTATACATTTCAAAGACAGGAATATTAAAAAGTTGTAAGCCAGATTATATTAACGTACACGTTTCTCTGGAAGACATGATTTTAGCTGCCTTTTCTTTCCAAATTTGTAAATCTGTCATCTAACTATTTACATCTGTGGTAGAATTGAAACAAAAAAACCAAGCGATACAACACCATCAAACTGTACAAGACATAAAAGTGGTGAATATCACATTTTTAGTCTGTTAGTAATTAATAACCTTTACTTAATGTCATCATCCCTCCATCCAATTTGTAAAGTTTATCATAAATCAAGACCTACTATACTAGGTTTTGATGTTCAATACAAATGAAAAATTACAATGACCAATTCATTTTGTTTTTAAGTAGAAAATTATAACACTTATGTTTCACGTTTGATTTGGTACAATCCGACAGAAAATAGGGATTCTATCAAACACTCGGTTTAATGAAATTTGAAGAACTTTATGTACCCTTTCTAATTTTTTTTTTTTTTAAATAAATCTTTACACTTTAGAAATAAGGATCATATGATAAACTTCTCCTGAGATGCAAATTATGTCATTGACTACATAAAAAATATTTGCAGTCTTGAGAATTCGGAAACATAAAAAAGCTGTAGTTTACAATTTGTGAAAACTTAACTAAAGGTATTTTGTTACTTACTAAAAAAAAACACTATAGTGTTTCAATTTTTGTTTACTCCTACACTGGTACTTACAACTTTATAATTTTGTGCACGAATAACTTTTCTTCATAAGAACACACAGTTCTTGAACAATGTTTTTTTGAGTCAAAAATCAAATCTAATTAAAAATTAATATATATATGTTTCTATCAATGGACAACTCTATTCCCCTTTGTCTAATATCAAGGTACTTTAGGTTCATAAAATTCTATACAAGTTTAAACAACTTACATATACTTGTAGTAACTATACAGTGTGTGTGAAAATATATACTTCAGAATACTTAACACTGTAACAGGTTTAATACAAACTGTCTTAATACTTAGTTTAAATGAGAGAATGGTTAAGGGTATTAAGTCAAATATTTATAACTTTATATGCTATATTCAATGTTACAATAGTAGCTACCTGTAAAAACGAATTGCTCATTACAATTAATTATTTCACAGACACAACAAAAATTGTAAATATTTAAGTTTCTCAGCAAAAAAAAAAGCTTTACCTTCTATGATTTTATAAAACTGATATCTCACAAAAAAATGTACTAGTTTTTCAACCTTTAGAATCAGTCGAGTACATGTAACCAAACCTAAATTTTAAGACACACAAATTAGCTCATAAGCTATGTAGCACTTAATACTAAGTAAAGGCTTTTAATCATTCCTGGCTTAAAGCTGTATAATATAGAACAAAAAATTCAAGTTTTGGGTTTCCACATTGCTATTTACAGAACCAAATGTATAACCAGTTCCTCACATACACACAAAGATGACAGAACAGCCATAGTGGCTCTAACACATCTTTTCCTTTCTATTATTAGTAGTTTACCTTTTATGAAGCTTGTATGGATAAAACAAATTAAATCCTCACACAAGATACATTAACTCTTACAGTACATTTAACAATGACACATTTTATCATATAAAAGGTCTCATTAAATGAAGTTTTTCAATCAAATCTTACTACATCATGCATATATTGAAAAATTCTACAACTTGTTAAAAAAACTTTGAAGATTCCTACATCTTTTACATCACCAAGTTTCAAGACTTGTAATGTTTTTCATTAACTTCATCTCGAACTTGAACTTCACACCAAACTTTATTAACTGTACTTTCATTCTATTAAAGTTCTTACCAGTTTGTATTCCACTGTAACTGCATACTCTCAAGATTCAATCCAGTTCGTATTCCAATGTAACAGCATACTGTCAGTACACTTTCCAGTTTGTATTCAAATGTAATAGCATACTGTCAGTACACTTTCCAGTTTGTATTCCACTGTAACTGCATACTCTCAAGATTCCTTCCAGTTTGTATCCAACTGTAACTGCACACTCTGTGTATTCCTTCCAGTTTGTATCCAACTATAACTGAATACTCTATATATTCTTTCCAGTTTGTATCCAACTATAACTACATACTCTCAACATTCCTTCCAGTTTGTATTCAACTGTAACTGTATATTCTGTATATACTTTCAATATTTCTTCCAGTTTGTATTCAACTGTAACTGAATACTCTGTATATTCTTTCCAGTTTGTATCCAACTATAATTACATGCTTTGAAGATTCTTACTGTTCTTATTCTACTCTACTATGAATAGATCCTTTGTCAGTTCCTATTAGATGTTACTCCACACCATCACTATATACTTTGAAGGTTCCTCATGTTTGACTGTAAGTACATATTATGACTTCTTTTCTTAATTTACTGTATCTGAACATTTCTGATCATTACTACAAGTTTTGTTTCATTGCAATTGGACACTTTGAAAGTTTGTTATAATTTACTTAACAGTAACAATGATTTCAAAACTATCTTAAACAACTGTACGAATTTTAATTTCTATCCATTCGCACATCAATTTGCTAACAACTCTGCAGATTTCTGTCAAATTTCACGCTAATGTCGTTGCCAGTTCTCAATTCACTTAAATTGTATACTTTCATTGTCCTGCTCAATTATTACTCCACTTAGTCTGGAAATTTTGAAGGTAACTAATACATACATACTTTGTTTTAACTTAATATTTGAAGATTATTACACTACAACTGAACAGCTTGAAAACTAACTACCTGGAAAGTTTTGCCAAGTATTACTCACCTGTAGTTCCATACTTTGGAGATTCATAACAGTTCTTACTTATATTGTAGTTTCAAGCTTAGAATACGTTTTATACTAGTTACTACTTTGCTGTACTTGAAAGTTTTGAAGGTTGCTACTATGTTTAACTCCAATGTAAATGAACACTTTCAAGGTCATTAATTACTCTTATCTGGTTACAACAGGATAATCTGAAGATCATTATTTGATCTTAATTAACTGAAACTGGACACTTTGAAGACCATTACTTCATGTTAATTAACTGTATCTAGACACTTTGAAAATCACTACGTGATCTCACTCAACTATATCTAAACCCTGAATATCTATAATACTAGTTCTTACTCTGCTATACCTAAATGTTCTGAAAGTTTCTACCAGATCATATTTCACAGTATTCATTTTTAATAAAAGTGTTTACCAAGTTCTACTCTTCTGTAATCATGCACTTTGAAACTATTACTACCTATTTTTTTATAGTTTCAACTGGATACTTGTAAATAGTTCTTACAAAATTAGCTCTGGACCAATGTAGCCGAACTCTTAGAAATACCCAATGGGAACCTACCCGGTATTATTACCAAGTTCTACTTATACCGTACCCATTTGGAAACTACCCTTTTGTAACTCTCAGGGAACTCTTCTAAATAATTAATAACTAGTAGAAACATTTCTCTACCTTTACATAGCAAGCTGATACGATACTTCACCATCCTGAGAAGTCTACAGTTTCAATGTGGAGTGACATTCTTAATCCAGTATTTACCTCACAGAGACACGTGGTCTCACTTTAAACCAGACCTCAACTTTGAAGTATGCAACTTTAAAGAATACTGACATTTTTTAGTTAGATATCTATTCATCATAGTGATCTCATCTTAAATCAGGTCTGTGGTTGAAATTTATGAAGTTCCACAGCATACTGATAAAGTTAGGTACATATTGCTGGGAACTACAGTGATCTAAAACTGACTGGTTTTTGAAACATGTAATTTCAAGCTATGAGGATATTAATAGTTCAAGTCATACTTCTAGGAAACAAACATGGTTTGTTCTGGGAAGTATGCAGTCCTAAGGTGTTCTGGGAAGTATGTAGCCCTAAGGTGTTCTGGGAAGTATGTAGCCCTGAGGTGCTATGATATTCCTTGTTTAGCACCTCTAGAAAATGTCCATGGATTTAATCTATTTCTAGTTCCATGCCTTTCTGGCAAACAAAAACAGCTTCACTATTAAAACAGATTATGTTTGGATACAAGTACTTACAAGAGATATTGAAACACATCCTTCTCAGTTAAGTTGAAGATCAGAAGTAACTGTATGGAAAGCACTTTCAATCATAGCTCAATGCTTGAAAGTATGCAGTCTCAACATACAATGACACTCCTAGCACAGTCTCTCTCTAACACAAACGTTCTTATCAATATTTAATAAACAGAGTGTTCTTGATATTATTTAGTACTTGGTCTCTTCCTCAAAAGACAACGCATGAAATAACCTTTATATTTCAGAAACTTGAAACGTCAGAATAAATTTTAATAAGTTTCATGCAAGGAATACTTTTTCTGCTGTTGTTGGCAAACAGAAGAATCGACAATCAAACAGATCCACAAAAATTCTTCACACACACTGTGAACAAGTAGTTTTTACACTGTTCTTCACACTAATAAGGATTCAAAAGAAACCAATAGTCAATATTCTGCCGTTCACATTATCCGGGACTAATAAAACTGGCAGTTATCACTTGTCCTTCACTGTAAAAAAAAATTCACTAGTATAATCTTCTCACTAATAAAGTTCTACAAGTAACAAGTGGTTGAAATCACGCTTTTCAATAATTGCAGGGACACACAAGGAACCTAGCAGACCTATATATGCTTTTATGTATAACACAGGAATAACTCTGCAGTTTTTACAAGCTTTATTTCTTATAAAGATCCACAAGGAACCCAACATGTTTTTCTTTGCTCTTCTTCAACACAAGTTTTTATTTGAGTGCACAAGTAAGTGAGGTTGGAGCCAGGGATCACAGCTGAAAAAAAAACAACAACTTTCTCAGAAGAAACTATCATGACTAACTGTCAGGTTTTATAAAACTTTTTTTTAATGTGTTTGCTACATGTTTTGTAAAATAATTTCTTCATTTCCATTTCTTACTCTTTAATAAGATAAAAAAAAAACTACACACAGAAAGGCAGAGGATGCTTTCATTGAAAACTGTTAAATGCTATTTTTAATGGATGAGGCAATAAAGTCTAATTAGGTTTCTTCTCATCATCTTTAACAAAACAACCACAAATATTTTAAGGAAACAAAATCTATGTACAGTGTTCTAACAAATAAAGTTTTAAAATTCAAAAAACAAGTGAATTGACTTTAGCTGGCTTTCAAGATTATTAAATACATTCAATTCATTACCATTAATGAGGTGCTCATATTCACTCTCAATCTTAAGAGCATGTTCATACATTTCTTTGGCTGCCTTAGTTGTCAGTTTCTCTGTGAGGTATCTTGAATCCTTTACTTCCCTACAACAAACAAAATTTCACTTTTACACTACCAGAAATGTTTAATAAATACTATAAAATATTTTCAAATGTTTATAGGCTATTAGTGGGATTTAGCTTTAAAAAAAAGTGTAGTAGATTTAATATAGAAAATATTAAACTTTGATCCCACACATAAAAACAAACCAAGCTTAATACCCGAAGCATTGATGGGAAACGTATCAGGTACGTTTTTTTATGCAATCTGCAATATACCATACTAACATTATTTTTTCAAAATCTTTAAACTTTTGAAATACATTGTCACATATGTGTATGTACATATATATATATATATATATGACCAGAACTTATTTAATAGTATCAAAATTAAGATGTACATATTTCCCTTGTCTGCTGCTTTTCGTCATACCGTCAAAGTAGCTAAAAATACAAAATTTCTAAGCCATAAAGAATACTCCCATTAAAATTACGAAAGAAAGAAGATTCTATCTCTTTTGAAATCCCTAATCATTGATATTTAAGACTTTTTAAAGGTTGTAAGAGATTTTTAAGTTATTTTCTTGCTCATGAAAAACAACACTGTCCATGCTTGCAGTTTAGTTGCTTCTGAATGTTAAAAAGATCATTTGTCCAAATAGCTATTATCCAGAAAATTTAACAAGGTTAATAAAAAAAAATGCAAGATGGTTAAGATTTAAAAAAATAAAAAAATTCAAGTAGTATGTAAATAAAGGTCTGTAGTTAGCATAGAGGATCCTACAATGTCAAAATTATCAATACCTAAGTTTGTAAAACTAACGAAATAACTTTGGAATTGATATTTTAGCACTGGAAGAAGAAGAGGAAAAGAAGTATTCTAAAGGTCTTTTTTGAAAAACTGGCTGAAGGCCAATATGCAAAGTGGCTATAACAGTAATGTATAAATTAATCACACTATGTAGAACATTAAAAAATAACCATGAAAACAAGGAAGATGAAGACTATGGTCAGATTAATTGATGGTAACACTGATTATAAATAATGTTCAGAACAATACCTTATCTGCTTTGTACTCTTGAACTTGAGAAAGATCACAATTGGAAAGACTTGACAGCGATGAAGACGATCCACAGCTGACAGACCTACATCTATCAAGGCATGACGGTTCTAGAAAAAACAGGCTTTCTTAATTAGTTACAATATCATACACAGTTTCATTATAATTCTTTCATACAATCCTTTGAATTGTTAGGTCAAGCAAATGGCTCAAAATGTTTTTTAAAGTCCCAAGCTGTGCTACATATTTACCTCTCCATAAGGCCACGGGCCTAATCATAGGTTTATTGGATTAACCTCTGACGTAGACAGCCTTCCATAATGAATTTTCAGTTCTAAGGAAAGTTCACATACTTTGTTTGCAACGATTTAATTATTTAATTTCTTCAAAACTCTGCATAACAAAATTGAGGAATAAATAAAACTATTTAGCAAGCCCATATAGGTATACAAGTATCTAGAGTTTTGTGTCCACATTGTATACATTTTCACTTGTATGTAAAGGTACGGGTTTTTGGTATAAATGTAGCTTGTCGTTAACCTTCTTTCAAATGGAAATATGGCTTGGACAAACACCTATTATGCATAAGTTCAGATGTCTTTATTGACAGTTTATCACATGAACCAACATTTTTGTTCAATCAAGGTAGTACATCATGATTAATGATAAAATGTACGAAGTATGTTATCACCAAAGAACTTCATTCTGTAAATGTCTAAGACATGGTAACTATAAGAATTAAGTTAAAAATAGATTTATGAAATACATAAAATCATGAAATACAACGGGCCACAACAGTTTAAGAAAATTAATACTTACTAGTAAGTTTTATCTCATAATATTCATTCTGATTAGTCACAATACTTCATATACTTAGAATACACTTCTCAATCACTTATATTAGTGTGTCAGTAGACTTAAATTATAATCGTTAAGAATAAAACACAATTCTGTAATAAAATTAATCTAAAGAAATGAAATTTAACACCAGCATATCATTATGATACCAAAGTAAAGAAAACTTTTAAACAACTATAAACTTTTGTATATTTTTTTTAAATGTTTTCCTATGGTCACATTTAAAAGTTCATAATAACAGTCAGGAAAAGACAAAACTAGACAAGACTGCCATGTGCTTAAAACGCATAGATGGTTAAACACCAAAAGAAACTTTAAGGAGAAAGTACCTATTTTTATTAAAAAGTTTAATGTTTGACTGATGGTAGATGGCAGGAGGTGTAATTGAGGTACTGGTCACTGTTGTTGGTTTTCTCTAAGTTTTGGTGAGAGGATCTTTGTCATTTTTGATGACTACGATGTCAAATGTGCCATCAACATACCATCACTAGTGTGAAGGTTTGTATAATAAAGTATTTAAAGCACTATTTTCTAATTTTTGCATGAAAATTTCCCAGATAATGTGGAAAAGAGGAAAACCCACTGGTGTGTCATCCATCATGTAGCAGATTAGATCTTTCCAAATGAATATGATGCCGAAAGACAAGTTTTTAAATTCTTCCATTATTGACTGTTGTGATTCCACTTGACAAAGCATTCTTTAAAAGAGCTTGAAAGCTTGTGGGGTAATAAAACCTTCATATTCTAATGTGATAATTCAACCGTTTCTTTTATGTTAATACATACCATGTTTAAATGATATTAGAACAATATTTACACATTTGCTTGTTTGTTTGAATCTGTTTTGGGGCATATTTAGTTGTGTACAATTTGCATAGTATGCAAAATATAAAATATTAACTATTTAGAGTAATCAACAGGTATTTAAAACCAGGACAATAGTACAAAATACAGTGTACTGTGATATAAAATATACATGACAGTGCACAGTAGATTAACAAAGTTATATATTCTTAAATGTACTACAAATGGCAATTTGCAAATAACGTTCTTTAACATTTCTGAAGTGAACGGAGCACTATAGGGTTTATCTTCAGCCTTGAGGTAAATACAAACTTCAATGGAAGTATACAGATGGAATAAAAGATTTTAAAAAAAATCGTAAAGGACCAATGTCCTTCCATCATGTTCAAGAACAATAACTTCATGGAGAAAGGATTGATAAAACTGACCACTTGAATGCACCTTAACTCTTTCAGCACCAAATCAAATAATTTCCTCAACCTGTGTTTGATTAGAGATGTTACTGGCCAATCTTTGGAAAAAAAAACGTAAGAGGCCAAGTTACAAAGGCATTCCCAAAGTCATGTTTAACTGTACAATACACCGGCAAGTAACAGTTGCAAATATTTTCATACACTATAATAAAAATCACAAAAGTTCTACATTTATTGATAAATTCTTATGCCAGATGTGATGTGCAAGTGAAAAACTGTTTTAAATTGCAGTTATTTTGCTCAAATAGCTGGTTGTCTTTGTACTGTACAGGTCAAGTGCTACTCGCAAGAAACATACTGTTCATTTGTACCAAAATACTAAAATAAATATACTTCGTAAGAGATATGTAGAGCAAATTTCTTGTTATTTAACAAACCTATATGATAGTTTGAACAAATATTCAGTTAATCTGAACATACCACAGTGTGTGACTTTTGAATCATCTGATATTTTTAATATATAATATTTCTAATATACACCTTTTATCGATTTCAGTAAGGTTGAAGAAACAATTTTTAATTCAATTATCTAAACTTGGTAATACAAAATTAGAAAAAAACTACTGAGGCCATCTTCCAACAGAACAAAAATTCAGATAAAAATATTATGCCAGTCATCGAAAATGTTTACGTTACTATAGCTCGCTTAGTTGAATTATGTTTCATAATCACAGACACATGTATACAATCTTTCAAACCTTTATAATTGATTTGTTTATTATAATTTGAGCTGTTACTTATGGTAGAGAAAGTGCTGGCTAATAACAGCTATAATAAATTTCATTAACAGATATACAAATTTCTCTCTAGTATAGTGAGGGTTGGGGGAGCCAAATTAGATGCACATTTTCTGTTATCCATCATAGAATGCTAGTCAAGGTTTGAAGTCAGTATCTATTAAGTTTACCTTATACTAATATATGAGAATGTTTTTTGTTTTGTTTTTTAAGTTCAAAGGTTAAAGTTTGTCCATTTGATAAATCTATCTCTCTCATTTACGATTTTAATAATACGTGTAAAGAAAATAATTATTCCCTGGGCATTCAAATTATGCCATTGCAGAGAAATTTACTTTCATTGTCTGATAAAAATCTTGGAATTCAAATGGCATTTAGTCAGTGATTTTAAGTTATAAAAGCAGCATACTAATATTTTTAATGCAAAACCCACATAACTACTTAATCATACATCTTTGTGTGGTATTAAGAAATGAAAGCAAATTTTTCCCCTCCCTCTTAAACACAAGGGTAAGTAATGGATTGTTTGTCATAATATTTTGAAATAAATTATATATAGATACACACACACACACACTATAGCTATAACTTTATCTTTCTCCAACTAATAAATAACAATGAATGAAATTGTTATTCATAATAATTTTGTACAATTTATGTGCAGTCTTTTCATAGGCTATACCCCAACTGTCACTGAAGCATAAAATAAATAATTACAGGCAGGTGACTGACTTAGTTTTATCCCATAAACAATGAAGCAATTCAGCCATTGACCTAAGTTTTTTTTTGAGAATGTTTTGACTAATCATTTGACACAAGTGAAAATATATTTAGACATACAAAACTCATTAATCCCATAAAAAAGGACAGCACCCCACTGAAAGTTTTCAGGAATCCCTCTTTCCAAACTCATTGGAGGGTCAGTATAAAAACTAATTTTTCATGCCATTTTTAATATACACTTCACCCCTGTAGATCAGTAAAACTATTAAAATATAAAATATGAAATTTACTAAGGCACGAAAGAAAAATTCCATTTTATAATGATCTAAAACCAAAACACTTGGCAAAGATAAGCTCTAACAGTATATACTTTGTAATATTTACAGACATTACTTTCACATGTCAGAGTAAGCATTTTTAATTCTATTTTCTACTATGATTCAAAAAATTCCTTAGGATAACCCTTATACTGTCCACATGTAAAGCACCAGCCTTCACTCACTTCTTACCTTATCACAAATTTCTTGAACAGCACTTAGAGTGGTACATTCATAGTAGTTTCCCTTACGGCAATAATCCACAATCTTGAACTCTTCTAATCCTCGCTCCATAGCCTGTTGACTGCGTTGGGTGGCTTCTGGTATACATCGCTGAAAGACTGAAGGAAAGTCCTGTTCTAGCTTGTGCACAACAGCTTCATTTAATGGACCAACAACCATGACGGGACGCATTGTCAGATCTGTTCATTAAAAAAATGTATAAGATACTTTGATAAGATTTCCCCTGTCTATACTGAAGCTATATTCAGAAAACACTGTTTAATAATCTTATTGTTTGTACCTGATAATCAATTACTAGTATCTCAAGTCATCTATATGATTAGTTTCCTACACGATTTGTTTTCAACAAAGCTATAAATTTATTTCATTTTCATTAGGAAAAGTAAAATAAGAAGAAAAGTAACAGAACCAGTAATAACTTTATGTTCTCAAATAAATCCAACATTTGGACTTTCGATAAAAACTTACAATCAAGCCGTTCAACCCTCTGATATGTTGGGGGTACCAATTCTTCAGCTAAGGTTCCTGAATCACTGCAACTATTAATAGAGACATCAGAAAAGGAAGCTAATTCTTTACTATCTCGTGAGCTACTACGGTGGTGTCGCCTCCGCCGAAAGAAACTCCTTCTGGCTGAAGTTGAGCCTCTTCGTGTTCCATCGTTACCCTCCAGGTCTGCTAGGTTCCGAGGCATCATTAACTCTTCTTCAACCCTAAAAAAAAAGTTAAGAAAATTTACACCATGCCTTTCAAAATAACTTAGTTTATTCATAATTAAAGGCTGAAAAGTGTGAATAAATACTGTGTTAGCCAAACTTTTCTTTAAATACTAAAACAATAATTATCAATAACTTCTAGTTGAAATAAACTACCTACAAAAAATAAGATCTGAAATATTTACTTGAAACAAGCTACCTACATAGATCAAATCTGAAATATTTACTTGAAACAAGCTACCTACATAGATCAGATCTGAAATACTTACTTGAAACAAGCTACCTACATAGATCAGATCTGAAATACTTACTTGAAACAAGCTACCTACATAGATCAGATCTGAAATATTTACTTGAAATAAACTACCTACATAGATCAGATCTGAAATATTTACTTGAAATAAACTACCTACATAGATCAGATCTGAAATACATAATCAGTGAATAACATAGTTAAAATAAATATACAAGTCTAACTAAGATGTCAAAAAACAAAAATTTATAACAATAAAAGTATTGATTCATCAGCTGCATATTCTCACTGTTAAAGATATTTTTAGCCTTAATCCCAATATCATTTCCCAAAGTTTGGCTGGATTGGGAGTTTTAGCTTAGTTCTGAATCCATATATTAAGCTAACAACACAAAGTAATCTTCATAATGATATATATATATAT